CCAGCTACTCAGGAGGCTGAGGCAGGAGAATTGCTTGAACCCAGGAGGCGGAGGTTGCGGTGAGCCGAGATCATGCCATTGCACTCCAGCCTGGGTAACAACAGCAAAACTGCCTCAAAAAAAAAAAAAAATTATAAAAACCTTACCTTATGGTCAAACTAATTAAAACTAGGTAGATTTATAAAATTTTACTTTAAAAAGCTAGCTTTTATATTAAAGATGCCCTAATGCAAACATGAGATTTGGTTTTCTCTTTTGAAAAAGATTTTTATGTAATACTAAAAGACAATGAAGGGTTTTCGTGTGTCCCTTTGGGTAAATGGCAGGTAAAAGAAGGTGAGGAGAGAGAGAAACAGACTTGGTTGGCCTCATGCTTTTTTCATTGGGTCTTGTTGCTTGGAAAACTAAGTCCCCTCTATCGAAGTAAAGGTTTTACCCTTTTAAAATCATTGAGTTATCATCTTGGCTAAATGAATGCATGACTTAACGATGACCCGGGATTCTATTTTGTAATATCCAGTGTTTTAAACCTTTGATATTTGACAAACTTTCCAAAATAAAAGTATAAAGTATGCCTTTCTGACCTAATTAATGTTTTAGATATTAGGTCCCCTAAAGTCCAAAAAGGCATATTTGGCTTATTTGATGTGTTAAAAATCATGCAGGAAACACTGTCAAATGTAAAATGATGTTTATATTCATATAAATATGTTATTGGTATATGTTATAAAATTGTACAAGATTCCTATAATTCTGACATGCCTCAGTATATGTTATGAGTAATAACTACAATTGTTAAGTTATTGTGTGCCACAGAGGTAATAAATTTCCTTGTAAATTGTGAAAAAAAAAGTGAGCAAAAGATTTGAATAGACAATCAAGAGAATATGTGGATGACAGAGTAGCACATAGAAAGATGCTGATGGGCCAGGCGCAGTGGCTTACACCTGTAATCCCAGCACTTTGGGAGGCTGAGGTGGGTGAATCACAAGGTCAAGAGATCAAGACCATCTTGGCCAACATGATGAAACCCCATTGTTTTCGCAGTGAAACTGCTAAAATACAAAAAACTCGCTGGCTGTGGTGGCGCACACCTGTAGTCCCAGCTACTTGGGAGGCTGAGGAAGGGGGATCGTTTGAGCCCAAGATGCAGAGGTTGCAGTGAGCCAAGTTTCCACCATTGCACTCCAGCGTGGTGACAGAATGAGACTCCATCTCAAAAGAAAGATGCTGACCACCGTTACGAAAATGTGAATTAAAACCACAGGGTGATAACATGACACGCTTATCAGTATGGCTGAAATAGTGACAATATCAACTGTATGTGATGCCACAGAGCCACTGGACCTCTCATACATTGCTGGTGATGATGCAAAACAGGAGGACCTCTTTGCAAAACAGTTTGAGAGCTCCCTATGAAATTAAATATAAACTTACCCTAAGGTCTGGCAATCTCCTTCTAGGAATCTATGCAAGACAAATGAAAACTGGTACGTGAATGTTTGTGGCAGCATTATTCATGATCATCAAAAGCTGGAAACATCCCAAATGTTTTTCAGTGGCTGGACGGATAAATAGAGAACTTGCACATAAATAAAATACTATTCAGCAGCAAAAAGGAATGGATTATAATAATCACTCTCAAAAGCATTACGCTGAGTGAAAATAAGCAAGTCTCAAAAGGTTCCACTCTATGACTCCATTCTCAGAAAGACAAAATTATAGTTATGCAGGACAGATCGGGCGTTGCCAGAGTGAAGACCAGCTGGACAGCGTGACTGTCAATGAACAGCACGAGGAAATATTGGGGATGATGAAATCGTTTTGTTTTTTTCTCTTTTTTTTTTTGAGACAGAGTTTTACTCCATTGCCCAGGCTGGAGTGCAGTGGCACGATCTTGGCTCACTGCAACCTCTGCTTCCCAGGTTCAAGCAATGCTCCTGCCTCAGCCTCCTGACTAGCTGGGATTACAGGTGCCCACTACCACGCCTGGCTAACTTTTTGTATTTTTAGTAGAGATGGGGTTTCACCATGTTGGCCAGGCTGGTCTCAGACTCCTGAGCTCAAGTGATCTGCCTGCCTCGGCTTCCCAAAGCGCTGGGATTACAGGCGTGAGCTGTCACACTTGGCCCATTTTGTATTTTGATTGTTGTGGGGGTGATGGTGGTTAAATAAATAAATGTATCCATTAAATCTCATTGAAATGTCCAAAAAAATAAATTTTACAATATAATTTTAAAATTAAATTAATGGGAAAAATATTTGATTAGATCTTTAAGATATTGGTACATGCAAAGGTTTCACAATTCGGATGGCAAAAGCACTATATATCCATGAAAAGATGGACAAATGGGATTTCCTAAGAATTAAATACTCTTGCTTATCAAAAAAAAGAGTGACAAGTAGGAAAAGCAGCACAATTTAAAGGACTCATATCCAGAACAAGGAACCAAAAAAAATAATAAGAAAAAGCCCATTTTTTATTTTTAAATGAGCAAGGGATCAGAACAAGCATTTCACGAAAGATATTCAAATTCCCAGTAAACATAGGAAAACGTGCTCAACATCATTACTTATTAGGGAAATGCAAATTAAAATACAAAAATATAAGAAGATGTCAAACAGATTGCAATAATTAAAATTGAAAAAGCAACAGGAGATAAATTCACACACAGAATTTAGTCATCCCTTGGTGTCCGAGGGAAATTGGATATTCGGGTCAGTTTTTTGTTGTTGTTGTTTTCTGAGATGGGGTCTTGCTTTGTTGCCCAGGCTGGAGCGCAGTGGTGCGATCTTGCCTCACTGCAACCTCCACCTCCTGGGTTCAACTGATTCTCCTGCCTCGGCCTCTCAGGTAGCTGGGATTACAGGCCTGCGCCACCACACCCTGCTATTTGTTTGTTTGTTTTTAGTAGAGACAGGGTTTCACCATATCGGCCAGGCTGGTCTTGAACTCCTGACCTCAAGTGAGGATGCTCAGGTCTTGAAGCTGGCCTTGCAGAAGCTGCAGATACAAAAAACTGATCCTCTGTCGTCGCTGATCCTGCATATCCCAGAAATAGCGTACTTTCCATCTGTAGTTGGTTGAATCTGCAGCTGCAGAACCGGTGGATAGAGAAAGCTGACTGGATGATATTAAAAGCAAAAACAAAACCAAAACTAAAAATGAGCTATTGCCACATGTAACAGCACGGATAAGCCAGGAAAACCATGCTGAAGAAATGAAACCAGGCCCTAAAGCATATGTATGTTTGATTCCACTTACACGATGCACAGGACCTGACAATACAAATCTATACGGACAGAAGAGAGAGTGGTGGGACCCACGATGGAGGCTTTGTACGGGAAAGGGCACAGAGACCCATTTGCGGGGAGGCTGGGTGGTGGAAGCAAGAGGGTGTACATATGTAAAACTTAATCTAGTTGCACGCTTTCTTGGCTTATGTGTTTTAAGAGAGAGGGTCTCGCTCTGTTGCCCAGGCTGGAGTGCAGTGGCACAACCACAGCTCACTGCAGCCTGGACCTCCTGGGATCAGGCGATTCTCTCCCCTCCACCTCCCAAGTAGCTGGAATTACCAATGTGGGCTACCACACCTGGCCTAGTTGTACTGTTTAGATTTGCATGTTTTCTTCTATTTAAATTATGTATCCTCAAAAAATGAATAAACACGACAGCCTTTGATGAAACACATCTGACAAAAAGAATAGATTAAGACATTTTTTCTCTACAAACAGAAGCATTAAAGAGTAAAATCGCGGCCGGGCACGGTGGCTCACGCCTGTAATCCCAGCACTTTGGGAGGCTGAGGCGGGTGGATCACGAGGTCAAGAGATCGAGACCATCCTGGTCAACATGGTGAAACCCCGTTTCTACTAAAAACACAAAAAAATAAGCTGGGCATGGTGGCGCGTGCCTGTAATCCCAGCTACTCAGGAGGCTGAGGCAGGAGAATTGCCTGAACCCAGGAAGCGGAGGTTGCGGTGAGCCGAGATGGCGCCATTGCACTCCAGCCTGGGTAAAGAGCGAAACTCCGTCTCAAAATAAAAAAAAGAGTAAAATCAATTATGTCATATTGTTTCACAAAAGTTTTACTTATCTTATAATAACTGTATTATGTAACAATCACAACGAGGTAGGATTTCAAGTGGAAACCAAATGCCATGTTTCCGTGCCTACATGGATAGGGAAGTTGAGGAGACCAGAAACTCAAGTGTTAAGAAGGTAACTTTTGGTGGTTGGGCACCGTGGCTCCTGCCTATAATCCCAGTACTTCAGGAGGCCGAGGCGGTGGAATGCTTGAGGTCAGGAGTTCAAGACCAGCCAGGCCAATATGGTGAAACTCCATCTTTACTAAAATACAAAAAAAAAAAAAAAACTTAGCCAGGTGCGGTGATGGGCACCTGTAATTCCAGCTACTAGGGAGGCTGAGGCAGGAGAATTGCTTGCACGTAGGTGGTGGAGGTTGCAGTGAATGGAGATTGCACCACTGCACTCCAGCCTGAGCAACAGAGCAACACAGTCTGTCTCAAAAAAAAAAAAAAGTAACTTTTGGGTAATGGGTGTATAAGACTGAAAGTTCGTTCCCTTCGCAGAACTGGGGATGGAGAGGCAAGAGAAGGGTAGGTGGGGAGGGGATGGGGTGCAGGTGGGGATGCAGGTGTGGTGGGGCAGGACTCACAGGCAGAGGGGGATAAGTAGACAGGGTACGGGTCAGGCAGGAAAACAGGGATAGTCAGTGGGATGCAAGCTTCCAGAGGGAAGCTGACAGATGTCCTGCGTCTGTCCTGCAGGGCTGGATGCTCACACCTCGCTTCTGTCTTGAGCAGGAGGGGCTCAGTCAGGCCTCTCTGCCCTGCTCTCCTTGGGGCCTCCGCACCTGCAGAGCCAACACAGGCCTCGGATCAGCGCCAGCCACTCCAGTTCTCATTCCAGGCGGGGCAGGACAGCTCAGCCACACCCAGCACCCAGGAGCTTCCTGGAGAGAAGCGGGCCTGCTTACCTGGTGTAGTAGATCCAGGTGAGGCCATAGGTGAGGAGGAAGCCAGCCCCCATGAGAGCCCCCCGGATCAGGGTGAGGACGAGGGGCCAGGAGCCGTCCTGTTTCTCAGTTACACACATGCAGGAAGAGGGGCTTCCTGGAAGAAAGGAGAAGAAGATAAGATGCTGTTCCCAGGCCTCAGTCCCTCCCACCGACCTGAATACCTGCCCAGGCTCTCCACCCTCAGCACCTGCCCTACAACTCACTCTGCACAGAAAGGATGAAGGACAGGTGCTGGGTGCCCAGCGGGTGCTGAGCCTGACAGGTGAATTCCCCGCCATCTCTAGCCCCTATGTCAGGTAGCTCCAGGGTCCCAGACACTGAGGTCTGGGAGGGATTCAGGGCTTTTCCTTCCCGGAACCAGCTCAGCGAGGCATGGGGGTTGCTGTCAACTGTGCAGATGAGGAACAGGGACTGGCCTTCCAGGATGGGCAGTGACATGCCAGTGCTCAGGATCTGCCGGGCTGGGAAAGAGGTTCACGGCCCGCTGAGTGGAGCCGAGAGGCCCAATTCTCCCTGACTGCTCCCACTGATCTGCAGGACAGCTCAGCCGCACCCAGCACCCAGGAGCTTGAAGAACCCAAGGAGAAAGACAAGACCGGCCAGGCGTGGTGGCTCTCACCTGTAATTCCAGCACTTTGGGAGGCCGAGGCGGGCAGATCACCTGAGGTCGGGAGTTCGAGACCAGCCTGACCAACATGGAGAAACCCCGTCTCTACTAAAAATACAAAATCAGCTGGATGTGCTGGTGCATGCCTGTAATCCCAGCTGCTCAGGAGGCTGAGGCAGGAGAATCACTTGAACCAGGGAGGCAGAGGTTACAGTGAGCTGAGATTGTGCCATTGCACTCCAGCCTGGGCAACAAGAGTGAAACTCCATCTAAAAAAACACAAGAGCAGTGGCCCACACCTATAATCCCAGCACTTCGGAAGGCCAAGGCGGGTGGATCACGAGGTCAAGAGATCAAGACCATCCTGGTCAACAAGGTGAAACCACGTCTCTACTCAAAATATAAAAAAATTAGCTGGGCACAGTGGTGCGCGCCTGTAGTCCCAGCTACTCGGGAGGCTGAGGCAGGAGAATTGCTTGAACCCAGAAGGTGGAGGTTGCGGTGAGCCGAGATCACGCCATTGCACTCCAGCCTGGGTAACAAGAGCCAAACTCCGTTTAAAAAAAAAAACAAGACCAAGTGGTGAGTGCCGCGAATGGCCTCGTCATCAGCGAAGGGGTGAGGACGTGGTGATCAGGGTCGCACTGTCAGAAAGAAGGGGCTGAACGGAGAAAAGAGAGGTGAGGAGTTCTCACGTTAAGGAGAAGCAGATGGGCAGCTCAGGTGCAGACGTGCTGAGAACTGAGACAGCCTGGCAGACAAGGAGGAGGCTCCTATCTGCAACCTGGCAGGGAGGACCCAGAGCTCCCGAGACGCGGTAATGGTGGTAGAGGAGGCAGGCTTGGATCTTTTGGAGCCTCGGGTGCCAGGTTGAGGGCCTTGGGCTTTACCCTGGAAAGCAGTAGGGGGCTGTGAGTAGGAGAAACTGAGTGAACACTGGATCTAGAAAAATCCTGCTGGAGCCAAGTACGTCCCCAACTGGAGGGAAGTGGGATGGGAAGCAGGGAGGCTGGGAGGAGGCTGGGGCAATGGGCCAAGTTGAGCATGAGACTCGAGCTGGGCCTGGAACCAAGGAGAAGAGGAGGGAAGTGATGATTGGTGGAGTGAAGGTCTCAAGACTTGCTGATTCACAGAGCAGCTGGTGAGAAAGGGCACTGTCTAGAGCAATGTCCAGAACAGCCCAGGGATCTAGAGGAAAGGAGTAGCTGAGAGGCATCCGCGGGAGGAGGGTAAATGTGCAGATCTGTGCCTCAGAGAAAGCGCTGGATGTAAAGTCGTGGGAGGCATCAGGACAGCGTCGAGGAGAGATTGCCTCACGCAGGAATATGGAGGGAGAATAGGGCTCTGGGGCAGAGCTTTGGGAGGTGAGAACGTTGAAGGCTCCCACAAAGGATGATCAGATAGAGATGAAGCGGGCGTGCATCAGAGGACTTTCGGGCAGTCAGTAATTCAAGAAAAGGGAACAGTGTGTCCTCAGCACTCGAACTCAAAGAGACAGAAAGTAGAATGGTGGGTGCCTGGTGGCAGGAGGGGGAAGTGGGAAGTTGCTGTTTAATGGGTGCAGAGTTTCAGTTTTGCAAGATAAAGGGAGCTCTGCAGTTTGGTTTGCAACAATGTGAACAGACTTAACACTGAGGAATTGTACTCTTTAAAATGGCTAAGATGACAAATTCTCTGCTACGGGTATTTTATCACAGTGAAAAAAATATATTTGAAAAGGGGAGCGGAGAAAAGGGAGAGCCAAAAGCAATACTAGGTCTGCTCATGTAAGATCTTGGTGATTGGGATTGGAGGGCTTGGGGCAGAGGGGTGAGGGAGGGTCTCCTCTCCCAGTGCTGAACCCTGAGCTTACAGAAGGCTCCCATCACAGCCCCATAGGAAAGAGGGTCTTACCTACCTGTGCCTGTGCCATTTCTGAAAAAGATGCGGATGGTGAGGTTCTGTGGAGCATCTGGGTAGAAAGATACAGCCCCAGCTTCAGAGGTGACTAGTGGGATGGGCGTGGGCCTGGGAGGTACCCAAGGAAGGGCCGCAGAAACCCACCAGGTGGGGACAGCTGTCCTTCCTGCCCACACACCAGTTTTCCCAGGTTATCCTTCTCTTTCTCTCTTTCTACACACACACACACACACACACACACACACACCTCACTCCCACTGCCCTTGGGGACCCAGCTGTGTTCCCACCACCACTCACAGGAGACATTGAGCTGGACAGTTCTCTCCGTGGTCACCTCAGCTCCTTGGAGCTTCACCTGACAGGTGAGGTTGGTGCCATGGTCCTCGGGCCTCGGAGTGAAGGTGAGCACCGGGGAGCGGGTGGTCTCGGGGTGCAGGGGGCTGAGGGCACCGCCCACCCAGGAGAATGTGAGAGGTCGTCTCACTTCACAGGATCCTGGAAGGCTGCAGTTCAGCCTTGCGGGGCGGCCGGACTCCAGAGGCTCCAGAAAGTGGACGTCGGGTTTCTCTGTCAGGGCTGAGGAGGAGACAGGGAGATGCCTGGGCCCCAGGGGGCGGGGACGCACGGCGTGACCCTGACAGTGGCCAGGCCTCAGGCCCCAAGCTGCCTCAAGTCCTGCACCTCCTCCAACTACCCCTGCCCAAGTCCCCTCCCTGTTCTCATTCAGGGTCTCCACATCCCAGGGTCCTCTCCTAGGGCCCCTCCATACCTGTCACCTCCAAGTGCAGCTTATTATCTTCATAGCTATATTTTACACTTCCTCTCTCCATGCGGAAGAAATAGCTTCCCGTGTCCTCCATTCTGGCATCTTCTATCCTCAGGGAGCAGACATTCTTCCGGACGTCCCCAAGGAGGTGGAATCGGCCCTGGGTCTCTTGCTTCATAGTTCTGTGTGGGTTGTTTGTGGCCACAGGAACACCATGGTATATGTTCTCCCTGTCCCGGAACCAGTAGACGTAGAGTTCATCAGGGTAATACCAGGAGTGCCGTGGGTAAGAGAAGGAGCAGGGCACAAGGACGCACAGGCCCTCCTGCACCGTCACCGACTTCTGCACTCGCAGCTCATACCCTGCCTTCTCCTGCAGGGACCCTGGGGGGACACAGAGGCTCAGCTTCGGCTCCAGCCCTCCTTCCCACCCCCGTGCCTGTTCCTCCTCCCTCAGCTTACTCACCCCCCCACAGCAGGGGCAGCAGCAGCAGGGGCAGCATGACTGCCTCCGCCAGGGCCCCAGATGGGTCCCAGGCCCCTCTGTCAGGGAAGGAAATGCCCCAAATGTCCAAATGTGGGGTGGGGCTGAGAAAGCCCCAACAGGAAGCCGGTGGGTGAGCGAGAGCTGTGGCCATTCCTGGAAGGGGAACTTGGGCACCACGTGCTGTCGGGTGAGGCAGAGGCTGGGAAACCATCCTCCTCCCACCCCCACTGGATACCGAAGGTGAAAATACTGAGGGCCCCAGAGGGGCTTGTCCGGACTTGTAAGTCCAGACTCCTGAGGTCCCCAGGTCCCATAGCTGGTGCACTTTCCTTGTGCACCATTGTCTAGGCAGAAAGGAGAACACCACCTGGCCAGCTCCGTGGGAGTCAGGGCCTCTGGACCCTCAGAGAGATGGGAGAACAAATTCTTCATGACATGGTAGGTGCTGTGGTAAGGGAAGCACAGGCTAGGGGTTTCAGGTGGGGAAGACTTTCCTCTTTCCAGAGGGAAGCCAAGTGCTCAGGGACAAACACGTCAGGTGGACATGACTGGGTGCTTAGCCATCAAGAGAGATGTGGTTCCTGCCACCCCTTGGATTTGGGTCCCTGATCTCATCATTGTCCTTGTCCCAGGCAGCGTCAGACTCCAGCCCTGGTGCGACAGCCAGGTGAGGCATGTCGGCCAGGCGTTTGAAATTTAGAAGTTGAGGACACGGAATGCCAAGTGTGAACCCAGACCCCTCACCTGCCAGCTGCCAGACTTTACAAAAGGTACCTACCCTCTCTGTGCCTCAGTTTGCTCAGCTGAAAAATACAGACCATACTAGAAGTGCTGTGTAGGGATTCAGCGAGGTCTCCTGTGTAAAGCGCTTAGGACGGTGCCTGGTCCTGAAAATTCACCCGGGCAGTGGATGCTTCATGCCCCTGTGGTGCACCAGGCCCCCTGTTTACGGAGCTGGAGATACAGCAAATGATACATGCTGCAATTGAGAAGACGAGTCAAAAATCCCAGTGGGGACTCCTCTGGGCACGCTGCCCAGGGTACCCCTGCTCCGCAAAGAGCAGTAAGAAAAAGGGAAAGAAAAGAATAAAAATCCTAGTGGGGAGACAGACATTTAATATGAAATTAAAATACACAGTCTGCTGAAGAATGATATATTCTAAGAAAAAAACAAAAACAGGAACACAGAAGAGGAATCATTGGACCCGATACAATTTTTTACAACATGGCTTGTGGGGCACTTGGAAGAGATGACATTGGAGGAAGGATGCGGAGGGTGTGTGGGGACGAGTCCACTGGGATCTGGGCAAAAGCGGGTCCATTCCAAGGGAACGGTACGTTTAAAAGTCCCAAGGTAGAAACACGTGGTATGCTTGGAAAACAGCCATATGGCAGCATGGAGGAATGATCAGCGGGGAAGGCGGGAGGAGGGAAGGTCTGGGAGGTCTGATCATGAAGAGATTTGGGAGCTGTCAAAAGAACATCACTTTTCTCTTGTCGAGCTAGACCCAGGAGGGTGTGGAAGAAGAAAAAGAAGAAGAAGGAGGAGGAGAAGGAGAAGGAGGAGGAGAAGGAGGAAGAGGAGGAGCAGGAGAAGAAGGAGGAGGAAGGAGGAAGAGGAGGAGGAGGAGGAGGAGGAGAAGGGGGAGGACGAGGAGAAGGAGGAGGAGGAGGAGGAGGAGAAGGAGGAGGAGGAGGACGACGACGAGGAGAAGGAGGAGGAGGAGAAGGAGGAGGAGGAGGACGAGGAGAAGGAGGAGGATGAGGAGAAGGAGGAGAAGGAGGAGAAGGAGGAGGAGGAGGAAGGAGGAGGAAGAAGAAGGAGGAGGAGAAAGGAGGAAGGAGGAGGAGAAGGAGGAGGAGGAAGGAGGAGGAGGAAGAAGGAGGAGGAGAAAGGAGGAAGGAGGAGGAGAAGGAGGAGGAGGAGGAAGGAGGAGGAAGAAGAAGAAGGAGGAGGAGGAGGAGGAGGAAGGAGGAGGAAGGAGGAGGAAGGAGGAGGAGGAGGAGGAAGGAGGAGGAGGAGGAGGAAGGAGGAGGAGGAGGAGGAGGAGGAGGTTCCTGCTGGGCCAGAAACCCTAAGAAAAAGTTAAGGAATTTCACGGAGCTGAAGATTGTGCACCTGAGAAGGAAGTTTGCCCAAAAGATGCTTCGAAAGGCAAGGAGGAAGCTTATCTGGGAAAAAGCGAAGCACTGTCACAGGAACACGGGAAGATGCACAGAACTGAGACCCGAATGTGAGGATGGCGAGGAAAGCTGGCAGCTTCTGGCAGCTGCAGAACCCAAACTGGCCTTTGCCATCAGGGTCACAGGGTCGATGGTGTGAGCCCAGAGGTCCAAAAGGTGTTTCGGCTTCTTCTCCTTCGTCAAATCTCCAACAGAACCTCTGTGAAGCTCAACAAAGGATCCCTTAACATGCTCTGAGGAGTCAGAACCTAACACGTGGGGGTCCAACCTGAAGTCAGCACATGAACTAATCTCCAAGTGTGGTTGTGACAAAATCAGTAAGAAGCAAACTGCTTTGACAGATAAGGCTTTGAATGTCTGAAAAAGACGTCGATACAGCATCATCTGCGTGGGGGGTCTGACTCATGACATCTGGACTGCTGGACGATGCTTTGAAGAGCATCAGGTTACCCTCTCCACAAGGAAGAACGAGGAAAGAGACAACCCTTTTTGTAGAAGGTGGAGATGCTGGCAACAGGGAGGACCGGATCAACAGGCTTCTTAGAAGAATAAACTAAGGTGTCTACCATGATTATTTTTCTAATCTGGTCAGTTAATCGACAGTACCTGCTTTCAAACTGAAAACAAAGACTTGACTTCTGCTGAGTGTATCTGCCAGGGTTCTCCAGAGAAACAGAACCAGTGCGGTGTGTGTGCTGTTGTGGGGATGAGTGGGTGTGGGTGTATTTATTTATTTGTATTTTTATTTTTATTTTTTTGAGACGGAGTTTCACGCATGTTACCCAGGCTGGAGTGCAATGGTGCGATCTCGGCTCACCGCAACCTCCGCCTCCTGGGTTCAGGCAATCCTCCTGCCTCAGCCTCTCGAGTAGCTGGGATTATAGGCACGTGCCACCATGCCCAGCTAATTTTTTGTATTTTTAGTAGAGACGGGGTTTCACCATGTTGACCAGGATGGTCTCGATCTCCAGACCTTGTGGCCTGCCAACCTCAGCCTCCCAAAGTGCTGGGATTACAGGCGTGAGCCACCACGCCCGGCCTGGGTGTATTTATTATAAGAAATTGGCTCACACAATTACGGAAGCAGACAAGTCCCCAGATCCTCAATCAGCAAGATGGAGGCCTGGGAGAACTGACAGTGTAGCTCCAGTCCGCTAGCTTCCAGGCTGGAGATCCAGGAAGAGCCAAAGTTTCAGCTCAAGTCCAAAGGCAGGAGGAAACTCAGGTCCAGGCTTGCAGGTATTGAGGCAAAAGGAGTTCCCCTTCCTCAAGGAGGGCCAGCCTCTTTGCTCCAGCCAGGCCTTCGACTGACTGGTCAAGGCTCACCCATCCTGAGGAGGACAATCTGCTTTACTCAAAGTCTACTGATTTGTTTATTTAAAAAAAATTTTTTTGAGATGGAGTTTCACTCTTGTTGCCCAGGCTGGAGTGCAATGGCGCAGTCTCGGCTCACCGCAACTTCTGCCTCCCGGGTTCAAGCAACTCCCCTGCCTCAGCCTCCTGAGTAGCTGGGACTACAGGCACATGTCACCATGCCCAGCTAATGTTTTGTATTTTTAGTAGAGACGGGGTTTCACCATGTTGACCAGGATGGTCTCGATCTCCAGACCTTGTGGCCTGCCAACCTCAGCCTCCCAAAGTGCTGGGATTACAGGCGTGAGCCACCACGCCCGGCCTGGGTGTATTTATTATAAGAAATTGGCTCACACAATTACGGAAGCAGACAAGTCCCCAGATCCTCAATCAGCAAGATGGAGGCCTGGGAGAACTGACAGTGTAGCTCCAGTCCGCTAGCTTCCAGGCTGGAGATCCAGGAAGAGCCAAAGTTTCAGCTCAAGTCCAAAGGCAGGAGGAAACTCAGGTCCAGGCTTGCAGGTATTGAGGCAAAAGGAGTTCCCCTTCCTCAAGGAGGGCCAGCCTCTTTGCTCCAGCCAGGCCTTCGACTGACTGGTCAAGGCTCACCCATCCTGAGGAGGACAATCTGCTTTACTCAAAGTCTACTGATTTGTTTATTTAAAAAAAATTTTTTTGAGATGGAGTTTCACTCTTGTTGCCCAGGCTGGAGTGCAATGGCGCAGTCTCGGCTCACCGCAACTTCTGCCTCCCGGGTTCAAGCAACTCCCCTGCCTCAGCCTCCTGAGTAGCTGGGACTACAGGCACATGTCACCATGCCCAGCTAATGTTTTGTATTTTTAGTAGAGATGAGGTTTCACTGTGTTAGCCAGGATGGTCTCGATCTCTTGACCTCATGATCCGCCCGCCTCAGCCTCCCAAAGTGCATTACAGGTGTGAGACACCACACCCAGCCAAGTCTACTGATTTAAATGTTAATCTCATCCCAAAGCACCCTCACAGGAACACTCAGAATAGTATTTGAGCAAATGCCAGGGCACTCTATGGCCCTGTCAAGTGGAGACTGTAAAATTAACCATCGCACTGAGCAAACTGTGATGACAGGGGTTGAACAGAGAAGGGGCAGGGTTTTGTTTGTTTTTACCTGATCACTCTGCTGGCTTTCCTCAGACGAGACTGCTGAGCTGTTGCAATGCTTGGGATGTGAGAGGAGGATGCTCAGGTCCGCAAGGACACAGCGGAGGTGTCGGCGGGGGAGGGGGGGAAGAGGGGGAATTAACGGTATTTGTCAACGGATCAGATACACGTGGGAAGAGAGGGAAAAGGGCCACAGATAATGCCAGTGTTTTCCACGCGAGCAGTTGCAGGCTTGAAGCTGCCGTTGCCAGAAGAGGAAAAGACTTGAAGAGAAGAATCGGGAGCTCGGCTTGGGGCATGCTGGGTTAGATGAGCTTATTAGACATACAAGTGGAGGGGAAAGGAAAGGGTTAGATCTGTGGGTCTGGAATTCGGGAAAAAGGTCTAGCTGGAGAGAAAAGTGAAGTCATTCATGTTCAAAGAGTGTCTGCAGCTGTGAGCCTGAGTGACATCACAAAGGACATGAGAGTATGTATGTATGCACGTGTGTATGCATGTATGTGTGTACGTTGTATGCACGTACATATGTATGTACTTGTATGTGTACGTGCATATGTATGCACATACGTACGTATGTGTGTGTGTACGCATGTATGTATGTACTTGTGTGTATGCATGTACATATGTATTTA